CCATCACCACCACTGTAAACCAGGTATTGGAAAATTTTATCTATAAAATTACCAAATTATGTATATTTGTGTGTGTGAGTATGTGTGTGTGTGTTGGGTCATACCCAGTGGTGCTCAAGGATTACTCCTGGCTGTGCACTTAGGGATCACTCTTGATTATGTCTGGGAGGACCATATGGGGAGCGGGGACTGATCCCGGGAAGCATGCAAGGCAGCTCCTTATTTGCTGTACTGTAATTCAATCTCCTAAATAACAAATATTTTAGGATTTTAAGCAAAGAGACATAATTGAGTTTATCACATAGGTATATAAAGAACAAGAGCGAAAGAAAGCAAACTTTCACAGTTTTTTTTTTTTTAATGAAACAAAAGAGTGTAGAATACATTTTCAGCTAAGTCAAATGAGGCAGTGAATTCAGTCTGACCCTGGCTGAGCCCGATTCTAAATGCCTGCCATGGAATAAAGCTCAGCTGACCCTCACATAAACAGAACAGGAACTGTGACTTTGGTTACCCTTGTTTTACAGATGAGAGTCTGAGATGTTAATTAACTTGCTCAAAGTCCCATACCCTTTCCATGGTGGAGCTGGAATTCCAGTAGACAGTGGACTTCTAGAGCTTACAGGTTTTTGGTTTTGGTTTTTTTGGTGGTGTAGAGTTTACACCCAGTAGTGTTTGGGGCTACTCCTGTTCTGTGCTCAGGTGGTCACTCCTGGAGTTGCTTAGGGGACTATGCAGGACCAGGGATCAAATCCAGACCTGTATACTAGCTCCTTGGGATATCTTCCTGCCCTCCAGCATCGCTCTTTTGATAATCTGTGAATAAATCAGCAGATATCATGAAAGGAACACGGCCTGGGGCTGGAGCAATAGTACAGTTTGCCTTGCATATGGCCGATTGGAGTTCAATCTCCTGCATCTCATATGGTCCCCTGAGCCCACCAGGAGTAATTCTTAAATGCTGAGCTAGAAGTAATCCCTGAGCATTACCCAGCGTGGTCCAAAAACCAAAATCCAAAATCAAATCAAAACAAAACAAACAAACAAACAAGAACAATAGTCTTGATCAAATTTCTGCTTCTGTTGGTCTGGACTCCATCATTAACAGAGGTCAAGTCTTTCTCCTCTTCTTCTTCCTCCTTCTCCTCCTCCTCCTTTTTTTTTTTTTTTGGCACTGCACTTAGGAATTACTCCTGGTGGTGCTTGGGGGGCCATATGAGATGCTGGGGATCCAACTCAGGTCAGTCTCGTGCAAGACAAATGCCCTATCCACCGTACTATCACTCTGGCTCCCTCCTCCTCCTCCTTTTATCTGCACCTATTTCCTTATTTGTTTGTTTTCTGGAGCACTGCACAGTGCTTCAGGACCATGCAGTGCTGGAAATCAAACCTGGGCCTCCTCCATTAAAAACTTGCCCACCAGACTTACAAATAAATCTGAGAGCAACAAGCTGCAGAGATGTCTCCAGACCCTGCTCCAGGCTGAGTCTTATCTGGATTGCCCCAGAGGGGGGTGAGTTAGCCCAGCACCCACCCCAACAAAGCCCCTGCAGCTGAAAACCTCCAGAACCCAATTGCTGCCATGCTCACAGCCAATCTTCACACGCTCTGGACAAGCCTCATGCATGAAAATTAATCTGCTAAAAAAAACCAGGTATGTGGGATTTGTAAATGAAATCGCTAGGCTCTCATGGAATTGGGAATGGGAAGCTCCTCCTCCCCCTCATCTTCCTAATCTCCTAGCAGCCTGGCAGCCACACCCACAAACTGTCTCTGGTGCCATATAAGCTCATTAACGGCCATGACCCAGAGACTCACAAATAAATCTCGGAAGAGAGCAACAAACTGCAGAGATGCCTCCAGACCCCAAAGTCACCATCCAGTTAAAAATTTAACTCCAGCTCTTTCACCCTATTTAAAATTTTAGAATTCCCAGAGTGGGCGTGCACATTAATGGCTGTGCAACATCTCATGCTCTAAGCCACTAATGTACCAGGAGCAGCACACCACATTTGATGGGGTATAAAGTAGAAGGCAACCAGTCTCGATCAAAAAAATATATATATATACATTAGTACACAAGGCTCCACCTGTAACAACATGTTAATAATCTCTTACACAAGAGCTTAATGTCTCCAGAGTGAGATACAACAATCTTCACACACTTTCCTCTACAAAAACTCTTTTGGATCATTTTTAGTGGATTATTCATAACAAAAAATACAAAATAAATTATTTATGATATGCCTTTGGGACAGGCTTGGGTGATGATGGGAAAATTTGAAATAATGTTGGTGGGAAGGTATAATGGTGGTGGAATTGGTGTTGGAATAGTGAAGGTAATAAATCACTGTGAAAAACGTTATAAAAATAAAAATTAAAACAAAACAAAACAAAGTTGTCCTCCAGCCCTCTAAGTTATCTCCCCAGCCCCAGACCTATTTCCTTAACTGGAAAATGAGGATAACGAATGAGGGTAAACAAAACTTATCTTTTAGAGTTGTTGTAAGAATTTAAAATAGGGCTGAATGCAGGCTTTGCATGCAGGAGGCCTAGTTTTAATTTTATCCCTAACACCAGATGACCCCCAAATTCCAACTAGGACTGCTGGGTTTGCTCCTCTGCAACCCCCTCCCCCCAACAAGAAAAATAAATACATATATTGGGGCCAGAGAGACAGTACCGAAGGTAAGACACTTGGGCACTTGCCTTGCATGGGCATGACTGGGTTTGATCTCTGGCATCACATATGGTCCCCTGAACCCTGGCAGGAGTGATCCCTGAGGGCAGAGTCAGGAGTAAACCCTGAGCACCAAGTGTGACCCACAAAACAAGTAACGACAACATCAAAAATAAAAAATTTAAATAATTTTTGTTTTTGGCATATGTGGAAGTATTTAGAGCCTACTCCTAGTAGTGCTCAGGGGATCCTGTGGTCCCAGGAATCAAACTTGGGCCTCCTGTATGCAAAGCCTGTCCTCATCCTCTCTCTCTCTCTCTCTCTCTCTCGCTCTCTCTCTCTCTCGCTCTCTCTGACCCCTAAAATGCTATTTGTATGTGAAACTGTGAAAAACAGTATTTATCACTAAGGGGCAGTAATATGGGTGCACTTATGTGTTTTAGACATGCAAATATTTTATAATAATCATGTTTGTTTGTTTGTTTTTTACTTTTTGGGTTATACCCGGCAATGCTCAGGGGTTACTCCTGGCTCTGCACTCAGGAATTACTCCTGTTGGTGCTTGGGGGACCATATGGGATGCCGGGATTCAGACCCAGGCCTGCCGCAAGGCAAATGCCCTACCCACTGTACTATCAATTTGGCCCCAATCATAGATTATTTCATCAGGAAATCCTGTAGAGTTGGAGAGATAGTACAGGGATTAAGGCACATTTTTGCATGTGATTGACCTCTGATCAATCCCTGACACTACATATGATCTGCCAGGAGTAGTCCTTGAGCACAAAGTCAGGATTAAGTCCTAAGCAGAGCTGTGTCCTGCCCCCCAATGAGAGAAAATTACATACATGTGACATGCACATAAAATTAGTAGTACATTTATTTGTTGTATATATATTTAGTCAACAAACATTTTGGGAATTCCTACCAGGCCTCAACTATAAGAACTGGTATGAGGGATGCCTGCCCTAAAGAAGTCTTATAGTGTGAGCTACCTTGTGGGGCAGGGGGGATTTGTGTGGTGGGACCAAGTGCTATTTGGCAGGGGACAGAGCCAGCCGGTGACTCTTGAGTCCTTGATTGCCCATAGAAGGTGGCAGAGACACCGGGGGGAGAGGGGCACAGAACAAAGGGTCTGTTTTAGGGATCAGAAGAGCTTGCCATGGGGCCCTCTGACCGGGCAACACTTTTGCAGGATTGAAAGGGGAAAGGTCTTCGCTGAAGGATGGATCAGAAGGCGTTACCCTCTGCAGCAGAGCAGCCAGGCCGAGGAGTGAGCTCTGAGCATTGAGAGGCGAGTGGCCCCTGAGCACTATAAGCTCTGGCCCCAAATCAAACCAAACCAAAACCAAATGTCAAAGTTCAGGAAAAATTACATGGAATTATGAAAAGCCTGACAAAAGAATAGTTTTTCACATTTAAGGCTGGAGCGATAGCACAGCGGGTAGGGCGTACGCCTTACAAGCGGCCAACATGGCCTACCCGAGTTCGATTCCTCCGCCCCTCTCGGAGAGCCCGGCAAGCTACCGAGAGTATTCGATATGCCAAACACAGTAACAACAAAAAGTCTCCAATGGAGACGTTACTGGGCCCGCTCGAGCAAATCGACGATCAACGGGAGGGCCTTTACCTTTAAGGTTGACAAAATTAGAAAGGGCTGGTGCTACTTTATATTGGTGGTGGAGCTTTATGTATATTTGTGTATCCTCATATTATTAAAGGATTTGAAAGTGGGGAACTCTTTTTTTAAAATTTATTTTAATTTCAAATACCCATCCCTCCACCAGTGCCCATTTCCCACCACCACGGATCCCAGTATCCCTCCCTCCCCCCATATCCCCCATCTCACCCTGCCTCTGTGGCAGGGCATTCCCCTTTGTTCTCTCTCTCCTTTTGAGTGTGTTGTGGTTTGCAAAAGAGTTAAGCCTGATTTTCAGGGAGAAACGTTGGATGATTTACTTTCCATCGATCACTTTGTATATATAAGGAGATGTCACGCGGCCGCATAAGCGGCCCTGCGGTTTGGAAAAAATGTTCTGGCTCCCGCATGGGCAACTCTTTTTTGTTTTGTTTTGTTTTGTTTTTGAGCCACACCCATCAGTGCTCAGGGCTTACTCCTGGCATGGCTTCGAGGACCATCTGGGGTGCCGGGGATGGAACCTTGGTTGGTCTCATGCAAGGCAAGTGCCCTATCCATTGAGCTATTGCTTCGGCTTCCTGCACTGCTCCTTTGCAGAGCAGTTTGACTGCAAGATAATCACTTGAGTTATTCATTTTACCCCACACACCATGCCCCCAATAATGTGAAGTCTATCTGTGCTCACTTCTGCATCCTCTGCACCTGGAAGAGTGGAAGAGTGAGTAAAATCTGATAAATAGTTCACTCTCATGGAAGGCATATACTTTACATTCACATTTGTTCTGCTGCAGGGATTCTATTTCAGAGATTCCTTTTTTGAGGGGAGGAGGAGAGGGAGTCACAACTGGAAGTGCTGAAGTTTTACTCCCGGCTCTGAGCTCAAGGATCACTCCTGGTAGGGCTCTGGGATCCACAATGCGGGGATCAAATCCAGGTTGGCCACAGGCAAGGCAAGCGCCTTACCTTCTGTACTATTACCCTGGCCCTCTATTTCGGAGATTCTATATTGAAAAATGCAGACTAGAGAGAGAGCACAGTGGCAGGGCACTCTATGCAGCCTGATCTGATTTCAGGATCCAGCACCCCATATGGTTACTGGATTGCCGAGGTAAGAGTAATATCTATGTATCACTGGGTGTGGGTGGCCCGAATTACAATTACCAAAAAAAAAAAAGAAAGAAACAAAAAAAGATGCCCCTAAAGCTCCAATCAGTAAAGAATGAAATCTATTGCACTGTCAGCCTCTCTGATGTACACCATACAGCCCAGTCCAGGTATGGTGTTGGCTGCGCCATCCAGGTTTGTGATGTTCCAAGAATGATGAAATTGCCCGACAGCATTTCTCACATTATATCCCTGGCTGTGAGAAATGCAAGGTGAAATTATGACAGCAGGCAAGCAAATTGACATATCATCTCAAACAGTTACTGTTTGTGTTCATGAGTTTCTCCGACATCTACTCAAAACACATTTACAGTATTTGGGGGGTGGGGCGGGGAATGCTAGGGCTTAATCCTGAGTTGGCTCAGAACTCATTCCTGGTGGTGCTAGGGGGACACCACAGGCAGTGCCAGGGATCAAACTAGGGTTGGCTGCACACAAGACAATTGTTAACCCTGTACTGTCTCTCCTGCCCACATTTCCAGCAAAAATATAGACCTCCTAGGGACAGTTGCCAGGTCTGCACTTATGGTTAGAACTCCAGATCTGTTCATTTCTGTAACTGCAACTTTGTAAACTTTGTTGCAACTTTATTAACTTCTACCTCATATCCCCATTTCCTCCCCTGGCCGCAGTCCCAGAGACACCACAGTTCTACTGGTTGCCCCGAATTTGAAATGATACCCCACACCACCCCTGTCCTATCTCCCTACCAGACTGTACATAGAGATGGGATACTACAGTATTTGTTTTTTCTGTCTCTCTTTTCCACTGATCATAATACCCTCCAATCTCCTCTATATTGTTGCAAATACAGGTTTTCCTTCTCTTGTGGCCAAGTAACATTCTACTTTGTATATACCACATCTTCCTTCTGGGTTCATTTGTCAGCAGATATTTGGCTATTGCAAATAATGCTGCAATGAAGATGAGAGTAGAAATATCTTTTCCAAATTTCCTTTTCCTTTTCCTTGGACATTTGCCCAAAAGTAGGATTGCTTAGGTTCTAGGTTCTGCTTTTATTTTAAGTCTATAATACTGCTTTCCACAATGACTATGAGTTGACTTCTTTTTGTAGCACTGTAGCACTGTCCTCCCGTTGTTCATCAATTTGCTCAAGCGGGCACCAGTAATGTCTCACAACAAATTATGAGACTTGTTACTGTTTTTGGCATTTCGAATACATCACGGTAGCTTGCCAGGCTCTGCCATGTGGGCAAGATACTGTCAGAAGCTTGCCGGCCTCTCCAAGAGGGGCGGAGTCGAACCTGGGTTGGCTGCCTGCAAGGCAAACACCCTACCCACTGTGTTATCCTATTTATTTTTATGTTTTGGTTTTGGGATCACACCCAGTGATGCCCAAGGCAGTGCTTAGGGTACTATCTGAGATGCTGGGGATTATGACTTTTTTGTTGTGACTTTTCAAAAAATTTGGACCACACCCATTGGGGCTCAAGGATTATTCCTGGCAGTACCATGCAGCTGTTAGAAAAGATGAAGTCATGAAATTTACATACAAGTGGTCACTGTCAATGTCCTCCCGTTGTTCATCAATTTGCTCGAGTGGGCCCAGTAACATCTCCATTGTGACAATTGTTACTGTGTTTGGCATATTGAATAAGTCATGGGTAGCTTGCCAGGCTTTGGCATGTGGGCAAGATACTCTTGGTAGCTTGCTGGGCTCTCCGAGAGGGGTGGAGGAATCGAACTCGAGTCGGCCATGTTGACCGCTTGCAAGGCAAACGCCCTACCAGCTGTGCTATTGCTCCAGCCCATACAAGTGGTACTACATGGAAAGTATCATGCTAAGTGAAATGAGTCAGAAAGAGAGGGACAGACATAGAAAGATTGCATTCATCTGGGGAATATAAAGTAACAAAACAGGAGACTAACCCCAAGAATAACCCAGATAATTACCAGGAGTTTCACTCCATGACTTGGAGGCCAGCCGCATATGCTAGGGGAAAAGGCAGCTCAGATAGAGAAGGGAGCACCAAATAAAGGGTGTTGGGAGGATCCTCTCAGGATGGGAGATGCGTGATGAGAGTAGACTACAGACTGAACATGATTGCCACTCAATGCCTCTTTTGCAAACCATAGCACCCAAAAGGACAGAGAACAAAAGGAGATGCCCTGCCACAGAGGCAGGGTGGGATGGGGGGTTGGGGGGTGGGAGGGATACTGGGATCAGTGGTGGTGGAGAATGGGCACTGGTGGAGGGATTCATACTCGATCATTGTATAACTGAAACCCAAGCACAAAAATTTCTAAGTCTACAACTGTACCTCATGGTGTTTCACTAGTAAAAATTTTAAATTAAAGAATATATAAAAAAAGAAAATAAACATTATTATTTTCTAAAGCCATAATTAAAAAAAAAAAGGATTACTCCTGGCTCTGTGCTCAGGGATCACTCCTGGTGGTGCCTGAGGGACTATATGCTGGCTGGGGGTCGAACATGGGTCAAGCACATGCAAGGCAAATGCCTTATTCTCTGTATTATTGCTCTGGTTTTTTCACTTTGATTGAAATGTTATAATGAGCACAAGCTAGAATGATAACTTTCTTTTTATTTCTTTTTTTCCTTTCCTTTTCTTTTGAGGGGCAGAGGCATGGTGGGACTGAACCCAGGATTGAACTTGCAAGGCCACGATTGAACTTGCATGGTCCCCCTCCATTTTTTGTGTGGGGCCACACCCAGTGAGGCTCAGGGGTTACTCCTGGCTATGCACTCAGGAATCACTCTTGGTGGTGCTCGAGGGATGCCAGGGATGCCAGGGATCAAACCCAGGTCGGCTGTGTACAAGGCAGACACCCTGCCTGCTATACTGTTGATCCGAACCCCCTCCTCCCTATCCTTTTGTTCCATTGTGAATCACTCTGGCTTTTGGGCACATGAGGACTATGACAGCGTCAGGATTTCACCTGAAGACTGCAGAGACCAATCCTGGGGATGGTCTCACGTTTACTGAGTTTACTAAGCCCCAGCATGGGACAAGCACTTGAGTGTTTGCACCTCCAGCTCTTTGAACCCTCAGAGAAGCAGAAACTGGGAAGCAAATATGCCTTCTCAAGGCAGGCAATAGAGCTGAGGGACGTCAGGTAGCTTGGGTGCAGGTTTCAACTCTGGGGCCACAGAGATAGCTCCCAGGGGTAGAGCGCAAGCCCTAACCACCATGAGGCTCTGCAGTTCCATCTGCCAATGGCTCCGCACTCTCTAGCCGTGCCCTGCCAGCCAGGCCCCATTGCCCAGGAAGGGGGTGGGAGGCCCCCAAGTGCCGCTGGGGAGATCTGCTTCTCCCCCAAAATTTCAACTACGTCTTTAACTACCTCTGTGTTCTTAGGAACTTTCTAACCTGAAGTTACTCCACAAAAGGAAGATAATAATAGCACCTTTCTCAAGAGGTCTGGTCAGGATGCAGTGGATTTGTGTGTATTGGGGCATGTGGAACAGGGCCTGGTGCAACTGTACCAGAAAGGAAATTGAGGTCAGCCCTCGGGGAGTCAAGTCTGCAACCTGTGGTCTGTCTGGTTCCAGCCTAAGCACTCGGTGTTCTCCTGTCCTTCCGTCCTCCCAGCTAGGACTATTTTGTTTTTGATTTGTTTTTTGTTTCTGTTTTTCATTTTGGGGTCACTCCTGGTTACCACTTGGGATCACTATTGGCAGTGCTTGGGGAATCATGAAGCGCTGGGGATTGAAATTTGGGGCTCCCACATGCAAAGCATGTACTCCAAACTTTTTTTTTTTTGGGTGGGGGATGTTTGGGACACACTTGGAGGTGCTCAGGGATTAATCCTGACTCTGCACTCAGGAATCATTGCTGGCAGGATTTGGGGCATCACATGGGGGACTGGGGATCAAACCCAGGTCAACCCCATGCAAGGCGCATGCAACGCAAGCACCCTACCTGCTGGACTGTGGCTCTAGCCATATCTATGTTATTTGTTTGTTTGTTTTGTCTTTGTTTTGGGTCAACACCCATTTGTGTTCAAGGCTAATTTCTGGCTCTGCACTCAGGGATCATTCCTGGCAGGCTTGGGAGACCATATGGGGTGCCAGGGACCAAACCTAGATCAGCCATATGTAAGGCAAGCACCCCTCCTGCTGTACTATGTCTTCAGCCCCTAGCCCCAATATTTTTGATCCCTTACATGTTTCTTTCACTCTTATGAACATCAACGACTTCCTTAAGCAAAGCAGACAGCCTAGGCACCAGCCTTGCATGCCAAGTCCTTAGAATTGTTACACTAGCTATAAAATGAATTAACACAAGCCCCTGTGAGGGTGGTGGGGCAGAACATTTTGTGGGGGACTTTCCTCCTTGGCTTGAACTGCTGCTGAACATAGGAACTGCTGCTCTATGTGTGAGATTCCTGCCCTGCCCCGTCTCTCTGCAGTGTGTGCTGCAGTTACCTGGCTGCAGTGAGAGAAGTAGAAACATTCCAATCAGGGGGTATGGTGCCACTAGCAGGTCAACCTGTATCTGTGGGGCTCGTGCATCAGCAGCCTGATGGTGCCTTCAGGCTTCCTGATACCACAAAATTACCTCTGTGCCTCTGGTCGGACCCCAGCAACTTGGGACCAAGTTTCCTAAGAAACTAAACTGCCAAAATTTAGGTATGTGGGAGCCATGCCCACAAACCACATCCAGCTCTGCTTTACAAGCTTATTTATCAGCCTTGCTTCAGAGACTCATAAATAAATCTCAAAAGAGATGAAAACCTGTGGGGCTGGAGCGATAGCACAGCGGGTAGGGCATTTGCCTCGCATGCAACTGACCTGGGTTCTATTCCCAGCATCCCATATGGTTCCCTGAGCACTGTCAGGAGTAATTCCTGAGTGTGAAGCCAGGAGTAACCCCTGTGTATCACCGGGTGTGACCCAAAAAGCAAAAAAAAAAAAAAAAAAAAAAAAAAAAGAAAAGAAAAAAAAAAGAAAAAATGAAACGCTGCAGTTAATCTCGGACCTGTACAAGGCTGAGCAGACCAGGGTAAACCAGAGGGGAGTGGGTCAGCCTGATGCCAACCCAAGCAGAGCCCCCAATAGCTGCTTACTCCCACAATTCAGAATTGCCACCATACCCCTGGCCAGATTCCCCTGTCTCAGAACTGCCCTCACTAGATACAATCTACTGAAAATTCAGGTATGCGGGTTTTGTGACTGAAATCTCCAGGCTTTCTCAGGGTCAGAATGGGCTACCTCCCCCCACTTCTCTGTACTTCCAGAAGCCTTTGCAGTCACCATCCACACCCCAAGCTGTCACCCAGTTAAATAAGCTACTCCAGCCTTACCATCCCGATAAAAAATACTAAGTGCCCTGAACAAACACGATGACTACTTAGTATCTGTATTGCAAACCACAATGCACAAAACCAGAGGGAGAAAGAAGAAAAGTGCCTGCCACAGAGGCAGGTTGGTGGGGGAGGGAAATTTACACTGATGCAGGGGTGGGTGTTGGATTATTGTCTGACTGAAACCCAATCATGAACCGCTTTGTAATGGTCTATCTCACAGATAGTCAATTAAAAAAAAAATAGGAGAAGAAGAAGAATGCTCCAGTCAGATGGTTACTTCAACATTTGATCTGTCTTTGTTTTATTTGCTTTGAGGCCTTCTGCAACTGTGCTCAGGGCAATACCTAGGGATTATATGTGGTGTCAGGGATTTGAACTAGGGTCAACTGCATGCAATGCAAGCACCTTAACCTCTGTACTACCTTTCTAGCTCTGAATTTACATTTTGTTTTGTTTTTTCGCTACATCTGGCATTGCACATGGCTTACTCCTGATTCTGTGCTCAGAGATCACTCCTGTCTGTGCTTGGGGTAACCATAAGGGATACCAGGGATCAAATCCGGTTTGACCACATGCAAGGCAAATTCCTCCTGCTGTACTATCACTTTACACCCTCAATTTTGATTTTATGGTTTCTTTTTGGTGCGGGGAGGGGGTTACACCCAGCAATGTTCGGGGACTACTCCTGGCTCTGCACTCAGGAATTACTCCTGGCGGTGCTCAGGGGACCATAGGGGATGCCAGGAATGGAACCCGGGTTGGCCGCATGCAAGGCAAACGTCCTACCCACTGTACTATCACTCCTGCCCCAATTTTATGTTTTAAAATACTTTCATCTTGAGGGGTGGGGGCAAAGGTAGAGGGAAGTAGACACTAGTGAAGGGACACTAGTGAAGTAGACACTAGGGTTGAAACATTATATGCCTGAAACCCAATCATGAATAATTTTATTATTTCATGGTGACTAAGCGATAGCACAGCGGTAGGGCGTTTGCCTTGCACGCAGCCAACATGGCCGACCCGAGTTCGATTCCTCCGCCCCTCTCGGAGAGCCCGGCAAGCTACCGAGAGTATCTCGCCCGCACGGCAGAGCCTGGCAAGCTCCCTGTGATGTATTCGATATGCCAGACACAGTAACAACAAAGTCTCCAATGGAGACGTTACTGGGCCCGCTTGAGCAAATCGATGAACAACGGGAGGGCCTTTATGGTGACTAAATTACACATACACACACACACTTTCATGTTTTACCTCAAAAAAACTTTAGGGGGCTGGAGTGATAGTACAGCAGCTAGGACGCTTGCCTTGCTCACGGCTGACCTGGGTTTGATTCTGGCATCCTATACAGTCCCTAGAGCCCCATCAGGAGTAATTCCTCCTGAGCGCAGAGCCATAAGCATTGCTGGGTGTGACCCCTAAACAAACAAAAGCTTGAGATCTTTAGAAGACACTTTTAGAAAAGAGCATATACAAAACAATCCTCTTTTTAAAAAAAAATTTTTTTTAGGAGAGGTCCCAGGGATGCCGCTCTGTTACTGAGATAGCTCCCACCCATGAATTAATCTCGCTCCTTTTTAATTTTTTTTTTCATTTTTGGGGGCACACCCATTTGTGCTTTAGGTTAATCCACTGTGGTGCTTGGTGGGGGGGACCATATAGTTCTGGGGATTGAATCAGGGCTTCCAGCCTGCAAAGCATGTGCTGCAGCGCTTTAAACTTTCTCCCTAAGTGATTAAATAATCTCTTACGGGTACAGGGAGATAGTACAGGATGTACTTGCCTTGGGATAATTTGACTGTGACCTTGGTTCAAATCCATGGCATAATTTGTGGTCCCTGAATTACCACGAGGGGTCACTCTCGAGCACAAAACCAGGAGTAACCCCAGTTCATTGCAGTTTGGCCCCGAAATCCTCTCTCTGCTCCATTTTTTATTATGACAACAGATCAAAGGTCCAGAGATGTAGCTCAATGGTAGAGCACTTGCGTTGCATGTATGAGGTCCTGGTACCGCATGGGCTCCTGTGCACCACTGGAAATGCCCCTTAGCACTGTCCCAGAAGCAGCTCCAAGCCACTGGGTCTGGCCCAAAAACAAAAATTTTCATTTCATTTCATTTCATCATCCTGTTATTCGTCGATTGCCTCGAGCAGGCCCCAGTAACGTCTCTTTCATCCTAGCCCTGAGATTATATTCAAGGCTATTTAGGAGAATGAGACCCGTCATTGTTACTGGTATTTGGCATATTTGGTACGCCACGGGGAGTTTGCCAGACTCTGCCCTGTGGGCAGGCTACATTCGATAGCCTGCAAGTTTGTCCAAAGTAGGAATAAGACAATAAGATGTCATAAAAAAAGTTTTGTTAAGATGTCGCGCGGCCGCAAATGCGGCCGCGCGGTTCCGGGATCTGGATTTTATAGTCTCTGAGTCTTGGCCGCTGATGGGATTACACGGCGCCAGGGGGCCAGGTGGTGGGTGTGAGCCCCGCCTACTGGAATTTGGAGGATCTGGGTGGAAGATGCTCGACTCCAATTCGAGTAGGCTTGGAGGTCTCGGCCCCGGAACCCGCGTGGCTTTGTCCCTCTGCCAGTACCTTCATGTGTGCGGAGAGTGGTCTCAGCATGGTGGTGGCTGGTCCTGGAGGTCTTCGGCTGCTGTAGCCCTGGTCGGGGCGGGGAGGAAAGCTCAACCCGCTCCCCTCCAAGGGACTCCGGGAAGGAACACCCAGGCGCGGGGGCAGAGACTTTTGGGTTCCGGGGGATTGTGGGTCTCTGGAAGGCAAGCAGCTCTGGTTTGGCATCCATTATTTCTTCATGATTCTGCCGTACAGGTGTTTCAGACTGATCAAGAATTGTAAGACGTATTGTGCCTTGTAAGGGCCAAGGGAGATGGCTGTCATAGTCTCCTTGCATTGTTTGGACAAAGAGAGATATATAGTTTGCACAGCGCTGAGCAGTTGGTAACTGAAGGTGCAGGCGCATGCAAAGTTTGTACCCGGGTTTGCCTGTGTAGAATCCTGGGCTGTGTATGACAACAGGTTTCTCCTCTTCTTGAGATTTTAAGTGCATCCCGAAGTTACCAATCTTCCAGATGTAAATCCCATTGCACTGCTGTGCTTCTATTTCAGTAATTTTGTCCTCGAGGGCACGAATAGTTTGTTTGAGTTCACTTACGTGCATGCTCTGAGTTTCCATTTTAGCAGTCAGCTCTCGGATTTGATGGTCTTGTCTTACAAGGCGACCCTCTAACTGCTGAATGGTTTCTTGGAAATTCTGGACCTCTGGGTGACACCCAGAGGAAACCTGAGATGAACTGGAAGGATCATAGGGATGTATATTGGGTTGGGGTATGGGAGCTAAGGCAAGGCTCATAGTCTGAACAGCCTGGGCCAGCATCCTCATGTGCAATTGGGTGTTCTCTTGAAGATGGCGTGCCAAGTGATTCCTCTGCATCTTTGCAGGGCACCCAAAAGTACTGAACGTGCACGGAACTGGGGCTGTAGGACAATCTAGATCATAGTGATTAGGCATCTGTTCTCTGATGAGCACGGTATTGCAGTATTCACACATGACGTTTGCTAAGGGACAGTTCTCATCAAGGATCTCTTTATCTTCAAATGCCATTGACACAAGACAGAAGACAAGAAAAAAAGCAAAACAGGAAGTGGAGTGATAGTACAATAGATAGGGCACTTACCTGGCATGAAGTCAACCTGGGTCAATTCGCAGAGAAAGGAATGAAGGAAGGAGGGATGAGCAACTTACAGAGGGGATATGGTAAATCCAAGGCTTCCCTGAGCTGTCCTAAGTGACTACTCCACTCCACCCCTATGTGAGGCCTGGCTCCCAGATGGGGACAGCTGTGAACGGAGAAACTGTCCAGGGTGCACTGGGGAATAGACCATCTGTTCATCTTTTTTCCTCAAGGTTTTTTACGTCCCTGTCTCTTCAGAATCTGGGTTCTCTCCTACCACCCTCCTACTTTTGTTTTATTTATTTATCTTGTTTTGGGTCTACACCTGGCAGTGCTCAGGGGTTGTTCTTACTCAGAGGACCATATGTGGTGCCAGGGATCAAACCCAGGTTAACTGTATACCAGGCAAGTGTCCTACTGGCTAGCACAATGAGAAGGGCACTTGACTTCTGTGCACCTGGCCCAGGTTTGATTCCTGGCACCCCGTTGGTCCCCTGACCCCTGCCAAGAGTAATCCCTGAACAGAGAGACAGGAGTAAGCCCTGAGCACCACTAGGTATAGCCTCCAAACCAAACCAAAACAAAAACCACAAGATTAAAATATGAGCCCCAAAAGACAACTTTGAAAACAATAGTTTTTTTTCTTTCTAGGTCATACCCGGCGATGCACAGGGGTTACTCCTGGTTCATGCACTCAGGAATCACCCACTGTGCTATTGCTCCAGCCCCGCAAAAAAAGATTTTGGATACATTACCATAGATGTCTCAAGTATAACTGGAGTGACCCTAGAGTTAGTATAGAGTCAGAAGCAACTCCAGAGCACTGCTGGATGTAGTCTAAAAACAAAAGAAGCAGGGGCTGCGGGGCACAGGGAAGAGAGAGTACAGGGGCAAAGGGGCTTGCCTTGCTCGCGACCACCCTCTGGTGTGATACCAAGCACCTCATATGATTCCCCCCAAATACAGAGTGAGGAGCAGCTCCTAAGACAGCTCCTAATGGGTGTGGCCTAAACACCACTTCCCAAAAATGGCAGAAGAAATTTTTAAAAATGCACAGCTGTAGGGCATTTGCCCTGCACGCAGCCAACATGGCCGACCCGAGTTCGATTCCTCCGCCCCTCTCGGAGAGCCCAGCAAGCTACCGAGAGTATTCGATATGCCAGACACAGTAACAACAAAGTCTCCAATGGAGACGTTACTGGGCCCGCTCGAGCAAATCGATGATCAACGGGAGGGCCTTTACTTACTTATATACTTTTAAAAAGTACTTTGTGCGGGCTGGAGCGATAGCACAGTGGTAGGGCGTTTGCCTTGCATGCAGCCAACATGGCCGACCCGAGTTCGATTCCTCCGCCCCTCTCGGAGAGCCCGGCAAGCTACTGAGAGTATCTCGCCCGCACGGCAGAGCCTGGCAAGCTCCCCGTGATGTATTCGATATGCCAAACACAGTAACAACAAAGTCTCCAATGGAGACGTTACTGGGCCCGCTCGAGCAAATCGATGATTAACGGGAGGGCCTTTTATTTTTTTACTTTTTTTTTTAATATTGTTGGGGCTGGAGCAATAGTACATGAGTAGGGAATTTGCCTTGCAAGTGGTCAACCCGGGTTTGATTCCCAGCATCTCATATGGTCCCCTGAGCACTGCCAGGAGTGATTCCCGAGTGCAGAGCCAGGAGTAACCGCTGTGCATCGCCAGGTGTGATCCAAAAAGAAAAAAAATCTTTTTTTTTTTTTTGCTTTTTTTTTTGCTTTTGCTTTAAACGGTAATATGTGGAGGGGCTGGAGTGATAGCACAGCGGGTAGGGTGTTTGCCTTGCACGCAGCCAACCCAGGTTCAATTTCCAGCATCCCATATGGTCCTCTGAGCACACCAGGAGTAATTCCAGAGTGCATGAGCCAGGAGTAACACCCAAGCATTGCGGGGTGTGACTCAAAAAGGGAAAAAAAAAAGTAAAATGTGGACCCGAGAGATTGTATAGCAGGTAGATGCTTGCTTACATGCCTCCTACCCTGGTTTGAATCCCCTGGCACAATCTATAGTCCCCTGAGTGCCATCAGGAGTGACCCTTTAGCACAGAGCCAGTAATAAGCTCTGAGCACCATTAAAATAATAATAGAAAAAGAAGAATAGGGGCTGGAGTGATAGCACAGCGGGCAGGGTGTTTGCCTTGCATGCAGCTAACCCGGGTTCGATTCCCAGCATCCCATATGGTCCCCCGAGCACCGCCACGAGTAATTCCTGAGGGCATGAGCCAGAAGTAACCCCTGTGCACCACCGGGTGGGACCTGAAAGCAAAAATTAATTAATTAATTAATTTAATTAAATAAGAAAGAATAATAGGGACTGGAATGATAGTACATCAGGTAGAGTGCTTGCCTTGCATGTGGCCAACTCAAATTTGAGCCATGGCATTCTATGTGATCCCCCATAGAATGCCAGGAGTGATCCCTGAGCACAGACAGAGCTAGGAGTAAGCCTTGAGCTTCGTCAGGTGGGGCCCTCAAACAAATAACTATATAAAAACAATAGCACTGTAGCACTGTCCTCCCGTTGTTCATCAATTTGCTCGAGCAGGCCTAATAATAAAAGGTAATACACACTCGTAAGCAGGAAGTGGAAGCATAACTCCTCCCAGCTCCAGAGGAGAGAAGCTTTCCCAAGTTTCTTTACTTTTGGACACCTGTGATGTTTATATTCATTCTACCCATGGCTGGGATGGAGCGATAGCACAGCGGGTAGGGCGTTTGCCTTGCACGCAGCCAACATGGCCGACCCGAGTTCGATTCCTCCGCCCCTCTCGGAGAGCCCAGCAAGCTACCGAGAGTATCTCGCCCGCACGGCAGAGCCTGGCAAGCTCCCCTGACGTATTCGATATGCCAAACACAGTAACAACAAAGTCTCCAATGGAGACGTTACTGGGCCCGCTCGAGCAAATCGATGATCAACGAGAGGGCCTTTACCTTTTACCTTTACTTTACCCATGGCTGCTCCCCTACATCTGAACAAGCTCCCAGTCCCACTCCTGCCTGACTTCCACCTCTTGACTCTAGGTGGAGGAGAGTGAATAGCAGCTGTGGGATAAGATTTTTGTTTGATTTGGGGCCACACCTGGTGATGCTCAGGGCTTACTCCTGATTCTACCCTCAAGGATCCCTCCTGGAAGGGCTCAGGGGATCATCTGAGGTGCCAGGGATCAAACTCAGCTAGGGCCTCTGCTGTACTATAACTGACCCTGGGAAAGGGTTTTGTAAAAGGCAAATTGGCCAGACAACTGAGCAGAGATGGAACCTGGGTCTCCTGCATGCCACGTATGTGCCGGGGGCCCATAGAGGTAACTCCCAGACTGAAAAGGAAACAGAGACAAAAGAACCAACCAAGCCCAGGGAAGAGGGTGGCAGGTTTAGCTGTGTGCCAGCTTTGGAGTAAGACTATCCTGTTGTTTGTTTGTCTGTGGGCCAAACCCAGGTGCTAGGGGTGGGAGAAGGTGTTACTCCAGCTCTCTCGTGCTTGGGGGTTGTTCCTAAAGTGCTGTAGGCAACGCAGGCCTCCCACACACTTGCTCAGTGCTCTGAACTGTCCTTTCCCTGACCCAGGAATATTTTTCTTTCTTCACCTTTGTTTGTTTTTTGGGACACACCTTGTGGGGCTCAGGGAACCATATGCAATGCCAGGGATTGAACCCATTGTCTGTGTGCAAGGGAAGTGCCTTACCCACTGTACCATCTCTCCAGTTCAGAAATCTTTTTTTATTTGGCCTTTATGTGCCAAATACTAGTCTTCATTCTTCACAAGAATAAGCCCATTTTTTTTGGAGGGGGTGAGGGGGTTTGATTTTTGGACCACACTCAGTACTTATTCCTGGCTCTGTGCTCAGGGATCACTCCTGGAGGGACTCATAGAGTCAGATGTGGTATCAGGGATTAGACCCAGGTCAGCTGCATGGAAGGCTAGTGCCCCACCTGCTGTGGTAATTTTTTTGGCCCCCAGAAACTTGAATTTTATATCATTTTTCATTTTATTTGGATCAACAGGTTGAGGGTATGCTCTACAATCAGGAGACGTGGGTTGGATCCACGTGATCACCTGAGCACTGTCAGGAGATGAGCAGATTCCAGGCACTGCTGGGTGTGGCCCAAAAGGAGGAAAAGTATTCTTTTGGGGCTGGAGCAATAGCACAGCGGGTAGGGCGTTTGCCTTGCATGTGGCCAACCACCCGGGTTTGATTCCCAGCATCCCATATGGTCCCCTGAGCACCACAGGGGTGATTTCTGAGTGCAGAGCCAGGAGTAACCCTTGTGCATCGCCAGGTGTGACCCAAAAAGGAAAAAAATAAAAAGGAAAAGTTTTATTTTGATAGTTTGGAACCATTTAAAAATGTTGAGGGAGTTGGAGAAGTAGCACAGCGGGTAGGGTGCTTGCCTTGCACGTGGCTGACCCCAGTTCTATCCCCTGCACCCTATATGAGTACCGCCAAGAATAGTGCCTGACTACAGAAGTATGTCCTGAGCACCACTGGGTGTGACCCAACCCTCCCCCACCCACCCTGTCCCTGCAAAAAAAGCTGGAACTGGATATTTCACTTTGGAATCATCCACATTCCAAGTTAACCTGTGATTTCTTATTTTCTTCCCTTTTCCCCCTTCTTTCTTTCTTTCTTTCTTTCTTTCTTTCTTTCTTTCTTTCTTTTTTTCTATCTCTTTCTTTTTTTTATTTTTGGGTCACACCCGGCTATGCACAGAGGTTACTCCTGGCTCTGCACTCAGGAATTAATCCTGGTAGTGCTCAGGGGACCATATGGGATGCTGGGAATTGAACCCGGGTTGGCCGCGTGCAAGGAAAACGCCCTACCCACTGTGCTATCGCTTCAGCCCTCTCTTTCTTTCTTTCTTTCTTTCTTTCTTTCTTTCTTTCTTTCTTTCTTTCCTCTTTGCCTCTT